AGAGATCTGCAGGGAAAGAGAAACGTTAAAAAAGAATTAGCATCTGTTTGATGCTAAAGCAGCTTTCATTTGTATTAGAAAGCTCTGGGTGTCCAGGAGAGCGCCCTAATCTTAGTTCTTCCATATATAAGAGGGTCCTAATGGCACAATTTTCTAATTTTTTTTGTATCTTTCTACATTTCTTACTGTAAAATGAGAAGAGTTCTGGGAATAATGGAAATAATGGGCGTGATTTCCTCAAACACTGAAGAGCTATCCATAATGCACAACCTCTCTGTGCACATTTATTTTCCAGCGTATCCAGAGCTGCCTGCTGGAGGGAGAGGGTGGCAACAGGGAGATTAAACAAAAGACCAAAAGAGTATCCATTTTTCCCCTTGCATCAGTGCTAATAGTAAAGTTTATTAACTTGTGCTCTGCATCTTTGAGATTTATTTAGATGTTCAGATCTGCTGAGATTTAGCATTGTGCAAACAACGAGGAAATGACTCTTCAGCAAATTAATAGCATAAATAAGATTCAGAAGAGAATATTAATACCTACAAACACCTCTGCCTTCCAGCACTGAAAATCTGTTGTAGTAAATTGTTAGCATCTAATGCAAATGATTTACACACATCTGAGCAGTTAAGATGTAACTGCGTTTTGATAATAGGACCTCTTTGTAGCGAAATCTTGCTAGTTCTTGTGACTTCAGGTCTCATGCACAGGATACATTTTTACCTGCAGCATTTTTTAGTGACCCAGCACTGGTTTCAGAGCTGGTAGCCCTGTAGTGTATGGTTTTGGATTCAGGTGATCTTTAGGAAAGCTGCTGGAACTATCAGAGCCTTGTTTCTGGTCACATGACCAGACGATTTAGCCTTAGATCAGTTCTCACTGGGAGGATCAAAATCACTTCCTAAGTATACCTGACTGTCCTTCCAAACCTCTGAAACTTCTGATTATGTACCTTGAGGTTAAAAATTAATGCCTGACACGATCCTAAAATCTTCCAAAATTACGGGATTCAATATTGTGTAATTCACAGTTTTTAGGATTTTCTTTTCTCGATGCGGGGGATAGACTTAGGGGCCTTTGCATTGAGCAAAATCTTGACCCTTTTTATGTTTTGTTTTGAAACAGGATCTCCCTAAGTCACTAAGTTGCCTAGGCTGGGCTTGAACTTGCAGTCCTCCTGTTTCAGCCTCCCAAAGAGCTGGGATTACAGGCTTGGGCTGCTATGCCTTGCCAGTAGAGTGGAGGATTTTCAGTAAAGTTGAGTACCTTTAGTATGGAACAGCTTTTGAAAATGTGTCCTACTGAAGCAGAAGCTTGGAGATTGTCCAGGGACTCTGATCATTAAACAAAAACTCTAGGTATTTAGGAGCTTAAGGAACTTGATATTTGAGAAACACTGCCGAGATGAACGATATGAAATAAAGCTAGGTCTGAAAAAGTGAGATCCAACGAGGTCGGCTAATGTAGGCCCAGCTAAGTTGCGATTTCAAGTAAGTGTAGATCTATTAAAGTTAAACGGGGAGAAATAACAGAAATTCTGTCTTTTCAGTCCTTAACTCCTTTGGGAGGAGGTACAGTGCTAGAAGGCACATTTTCCTGTGGAAATCCTTAGATTGTTTTTTTGAGGGCAGGAATAAGGCAGATTGAGCTGCTTTGTAGTTTCATACCTTATAAAACTCTTTTCGGGGGTTTAGCAAATTCTTCTTTTATCAGTTAATATCTAATCACTGAGTGATCCACGGGGCAGCTCAGCCTAAGATCTTCTGGCTTCCTTTCTTGGGGAGTTGCTCAGGTATATACAAGGCTTGATAAAAAATACTGTGAGGGCTTGCATTTATAATACAATTATGTAAAACAGCTGTCCCCAACCCTTCTGGTGTCAGGTACTGGTGTCCTGGGACAAGTTTTCTAAAGACTGCTGGCAGGGTAAGGGGATGGTTTGGGGTGAATCAAAGGAGTAGCTGTGTGCATCGCTGCCCCATGCACAGTTCATATTAGGGCTCCTGCCTCTGGGAAAATCTAATGGCCCCACTGATCCGACTGAGGCAGAACTCAGGTAGCACTGTGAGCAATGGGGAAAGGTTGTACAAACAGAGGAAGCCTCGCTCTGTGCAGCCCAGTTCCCAGCAGGCCGCATACTGGTGATGCTACCTGTGCATGCCCTGGGTGTGGGTTTGAGGACTCTGCAGAGACACCTCACCATTAACCAGTCCGCCCTTTTGTTTGCTTCCAACACACTTATCCATCATTTTTCCCACTCTCGGAAGCTGTTCTGCAAGTCTTCTTTCTTTTAAACACACATGTTGTCACATGTACACACACACACACCAGACACATGCTCACATTCCCTGGGTGAAGTCTGCTCTGTAACACCACCTTTGTTTTAATTCAGCATCGAATTATATCCACTCAGCATCAAAGTAATATTCCAATCTTTTCTTTTTCAGCTTTAATTGAGTTTATTGGTACATTTTAGGGATACAGTACAGTTACATTCATTGTTGGGATCTTGTACCTCTACATGACAAGTCTTGATTCTCATTTTTTCCCCTTACCCCTGCCCTCCGATCTTGATCTTGATTCATTTGGCAAGAGCCGGTTTTAGTGCCAGTATGTGGCTAACTCCCTTGACCTTTCCTGAAGAAAGAAATACCAGTGCTTTGGGTTTTTGTGTTAATGATCATGGGGAAGCTGTCAGCTCACATTTCTGTTTCTGTTCCAGTCAGTGTCACTGACCTTCACCTGATGTTCAGTGTAACACAGGCACACATGGGCCAGAGATTAAAAGTGAGAAGAAAGGTAGAAGAAAGGTAGAAGAAAGGTGTAGGGAAGCAATTTGTAATCTATCAGGTACATAGAATTAGTGTGGTCACTTAATTAAAAGAAAAACCCAGGAAAAGTGCTGTGTCTTATAGTTTGTCACTATTGGATAAGTGGGACGGAGTACCTTCCGGAAATGGATTATGTCTTTTCTTTGAAATATAATTGATACCGTGACAAACGTACTCCACATTTCTGAGTTCCTTTTCTGTGGATGTAAGGACTGAGAATCATTTAGAGTTTTTTGATGAATAGAAAATAGAGGGGCCTCAGCTTTTCTAGGCACATAGGTGTATTGTCCCTGCTTCTGTATCACCAGGGCTGGCAGCTCTTCTGGTTTGCCTGGGAATAGCTTGATTTTAGCACTGAAATTGACCGTGTCCCGGGAAATTGCCTGTTGTCTTGGGCAAACCAGTATGGTTGGTTGCTCTAAATTCATTTGTAATCAACTTGATTAGACACATGTTTTCTAATGTGATTTTAATTCTCTGTGGTGGTTTGTTCTTTTATGAACATTTCTGGCTTTGTTGGTCTGAAATACATATATGCATATATATATATATATATATATATATACACACACATATACATAATACATACACATCTACATTATAATAAAAGTACAGAATTCTAAAATGAGCTTAGGTGGCTGTTCAATTGGCCTAGCACTTGAGTGCTAGGAGGATCGTTAACTTTTTTTTTGATCCAGCACTGCTTTTTGAAATGATTGCCCATGACCATTTAGTAAGTTAGAGTCAGATCCAGAACTTGAGTCCAGGCCCCCTTATTCTTTTTCTGTGTGTCAAATGTGTCTGAAAGGTGCCTTTGCCCTCGTTGTTTTCTGGTACTGGTGCTTGAGTCCCGGGCTTTTGCAGTGAGTTTACATTCCCAGCTTTTTGTTTTTTCAATTTGTCCAGGCTTGTGATGTGCCTACCTCGGTCTCCCAAGTAGCTGGGATAAAGGCATGAGTCAGTTTGGATGGAAACCTGAGAAGCCCCATGCTGGAGAGAGGCTGATTCACTTGGCGTGGCTCCGTTAATCGCTCCCTGGCCCCCCCCAGCATGGGTTCATACTGCGACACAGCGGCAGGGCCTTCCCCCACATAGGGGGGCTGTCTTCTGTCACAGTAGCAAACACTGAATCATGCTCCAAAAGGAAGGGTTACTAAATGTGTATATTTCTGTGAAATCATGCTGTGATCCTGTTATTTCTATTAATATTTCCAGTTAATATTTTAGCTTCAAAAAAATAAGCAGAACACAGCTTTTGCAGGTCGCCTTCTGCTGTTTAGAAAAGGAGCACATAAATGTTACATGTTGCTCCCTCTGGAAGACTTGCAGCACTATCTTAAGCCTATATTTTATTTATAGATTAAGCTCAATATTCTGAACCAGCTTCCCTATCTTCCATCTGTTCTGTAATATCTCTTCCATCAAATCAGAAAAAAAAAAAAACAAACCCAAAAACAGAATCTTAAATTTAACACAAAAATATCCAGAAACCAAGTCAGTGTTTTCATGGAGAGGTGCTGCTTCTGATGACTATCTTAAAATTGGGGTATTCTTCCAGGTGAATTATAGTCGTACGAGAGCACCTTTTTCTTACAAAAGGTTGAGCAAGTTTTTAAATTTCAGCTAGACATCGCCTCTTGGCCTTTTGGCTAGGATCAAGTGAAGACTCAACCAGAGAGACTCAGTATTATTCAGCTGAGGAGTGAAGATCATTAGGGAATTTTTCTGCAGTCTGGTTTTGTTTCTTTGACTAAGTGAATCAATAGAAACATTTCACTCTACTATGTCTTTCTTCCCGCTTAAAAAAAAAAGTCCTGTAAATCAGCAGTCTTTAATGCCGCAGGATGATTAGGGCATGGTAGAGAATTTTAATTGCATGAGTGCCTGTTTAGTTTGATAGTTGAAGAACTCTCACTGACAGATCCTGGATGCTGCCATCTCTTTGGCATTCAACAGTGGTAGCTAATTGTGGCTTTCTCAAAATGAAGCTGCAGCTCAGAGTTTCAAGATAGAATGATTTGGAGTAGTTCAGTGTGGCAAAGGCCACCTCGGCTCTGGAGGGAATCAGTCTTGCTGAAAAATAATCTGACCTGCGTAGCCATGGGCCTGCACAGGGCCACTTGAGCTGAGACTGGAACCCTGATTACCACTTGTCTCTTCTTTGTCAAGGGGATCATCCAAGATGGAAAGATCATCTTTATGCCGAATGGATACATAACACAGTGTCCGAACCTAAATCGCAGTAAGTAGTACCTTCAAGCATTTGTGAGTTTGGAGTCTTGCAGAACTTGTTTATAATGTCAGAGAGACACATCTGGAAGGACATACACAGAATACAGTATTGACTTCTGAGATGGGGAGTTTCCCAGAAGAAAATCCATTCTCTATGTTATGTACTTCTGTATCTGTAAAGTTTTAAAAAGATTATCCTTATTTACAAATTTAAAATTTGAAGGTAGGAAAAAGGTTCTGTTAACAGGTTCTATATTATAAAACAGATATTTAACTTTGTAATACTTTATTATTGTTTTATGAAATTATTCTTTAAATTTTTGGACCTGGATGTGAACTCACTTTTTCTCTCTTATAATACTTTATATTTTTCTAGTCCCCTCTGTCAAAATGAGGGTTAAATTTTGAAATGTCATGTGGCCTTTTCAATCAGCGGCCAGCCCCCTTTTCCTGTTTCAGTCTTTTTCTTATTAATAAAGAAAAAAGATCCAGACTTTAAATCCTCTGTGATTTCACTTTACATTTTAACCAAAAGAGAAAATTACTTCTACCATCAAACAACTGTTTTGCAATTTTCTTTCCTACATTAGCACAAAATCAATATATATTTTATATTTTCTTTATTGAGCTTGCCCTACCTGCAGTGATTTCTTAAGCCTGGTGCAAGGAATAATGGATTTACAAGAACTTTTGGCCAAGATGACAGCAAAAGTAGGTATCTAAATTTCACTTGTGATGTTTCATTTCTTTCTCTGTCGTATCAGGACTTTAGAGGGATATGTTATAATGGACACATTTTTAGCCTCGACACCTGCAATCTGTTCCAATAAGTGTGTTTTATTTTCCTGTGAAACGAGACTACCTCTAGTCGGTGTAACCATTCTGACCTTTGATGCCATTAGGCTGCATCTGAATGTTTTTCTTGAAAATTATTTGGAGCAGGAGGCATTGTGTAGTACTGAAGATTCCCTGGGAGCAGAAAAGGAATTTACCCAATGACTGTTAAACCGGTAACACTAGGACATGTTACATGACTCGAGCCACTGCTGCTGATACTTTGGTGCGTTTCTGATGTAAGAGTTATTGCCAGAAATCAAGAGTGGGGAAGGTAGCTGTTGTTAGAAACAGGCTGCTGTCACAGCAAGTCCTGCCCTATGCTTTGTTTCAGGACTGATCCTAAGTTAAATCATGAAGGAACATTTGCCTTTCGACACTTTCAGTTTTTAAAATTCTGTGTCTTTTCCTCCATCATTCCTGGAACAAATATCTTGTGAGAAACTTCTGTTTTCCAGCCACGGTGCTAGGCTTGGAGACGCAGTGATGGACGAGACAACCTCTACCACAGAAATATCCATATGGAGCAGCTGAAGAGTTAGGGACTTTAATGTCTGTTCACACAGTCTAGATTCATAATGAAAACCCTCAGCCTTAGTGTAGAAAGGCATTGAAAAAAATTGAAAATGTGGCTAATGCTGTTATGATACCAATTAGCTGGGGATATGAGTTTGGCCTAGGGTGAAGAAGGAATTAGGTTGAGCCTAAGAGACGTTATGCTCTGCAAAAGGAAGAATTTTACTAACAGTGAAGATGATGCATTCATTCTCTTTTACCCATGGCTGTGATTACCATCTACCTTCAGGTGTGGCAAGTAGAAAATACTTGGTGGGCAGATAAGTGATGGGGAGGTAAGGCTGCATTTTGGATCTGTAGGTTGTGCCACTGAAGACAGTGTTTCTGTTTCAAACTCAGTTTTTGGCTAAGCCAAGTCCCCTTTTGTCTGGAAGGTAGACACAGAGTATTTTTGCAAAGAGAGACACAGTCTGAAGCTTGAGTCTAAACCATTCGCTTTTCACTTCAGAATGCTGTAGAAACGTGAAATTCAGGCAATTCTTTGCCATCCCAGCTTGTGGCATATAGAGACTTTTATTTTATATTGTCTGGAGCAGCTTGATCTCAATACTGTTAATTATATTTAATCATGCTGCTAAAGTTTAGAAACAAGAAACATGCCACTCAGCCTCAGGTGCCTGAAGGTCTCCATTCTCTGGCTCTGAGGATGCCCTTTTCTTTCTCATTGTGGAGAATGGCATTTTTCTCTTTGTAGTGATACATTATCCAGGAGCTACAGTGAGCTCTATCTTCAAAGCATTGTAATGTAAAATGGGCATTGGGGAGGCAGAAAGTTTTTAAATTGTGGGATACAGCAAGCAGAAGTTGGTTTAATCTGGCTCCTGAATCTCACCTTTCCTCCTCTGGGATTTTGTCAGATTTGTAAGTCTGTGCCTTCCAAACTGCGAAGAGAATTACAGTTCTACACTGCATAATATGTAATCTGTGGTAATCTCAAGCAGGAGTTGTCAAAAATTTTTTCTGTAAGTGGCCAGCTGGCAAACATTGTGTTTTCTAGGCCAACAAACAAATATGAGGCTATTATGTTTATAAATATTTCTTTTAAATATGATCATTTATAACCATTGAAAACATATCCATTGAAAAATATAAAAACTATTCTTAGCTCACAGGATGTCAAAAAAATAAGTGTAGGCCAGAGTTGGCTTGAGAGCCTTAGTTTGTCAATCTTGGATCTAGGAAGTTGGAGAGCCACTCAGACTAGGTCCTGTGTATTGAGCATTTTGTATGTGTTAGTTCCAGTACTTAAGCATTTTAAATTCATCCTCACAGTAACCTTGTAAGCTAAGTTTATTATCCTACTTTGAGAAGACTACGATCCAGAAAGGTAGCTTTTTGTAAGAGTATATGGCAGAGCTGGGACCTGAAATCACATATTTAGATTCTGAAAATGGATGGGATTGAAAAGGGTTATGGTTGGAAAAAAGAGGGGTTAGAAAGAGTAGTGAGCAGCAAAAAGAAAAGAGGAATGCTTGTTGGATCACTCTGTGGAGTTGGGCTAGATTTCCCTTTGGGAGTCAATGTGGAGATCGCAGCAGCCTGTGTCAGCGGGAGGATCTGAAGAATAAGCTCTTTTACCTCCCCTTTTGGTTACGAGCTTCTGGTTCTCCTTTCAGGGCTGTGAGGACATTGGGTATGCTCTTGCCAGAACCACTCAGGACCACCTCATATTACATCATCTGAGTGCTGAGAGTCAGTTCCCCACACCTGTGACAGGCTAGGTGACTCCTCGGAGAAGAAATGTTAAGAATTCTCGGGGAGATCTCCCCTCGCCGTACTCAGTACTCAAGCCCGAACAGGACGATCTTTCTGTGTTTTGTGCAAGACTTGTTGCCTGTGTATTACTCTAAAACAGGGAACAGCCTGGCAGGGTCCCTGCCTTCCTATAGGAGCTTTTTAAAAGACATCGCATCTTGGGCTGCTGTTTTTCTCTGCCTTTGCTCTCCAAACCTGTGCAGCCTTCAAGGTGGGACCTCAAGAGCAGAAACCTGCAGGATGTAGGTTGGCTCTGGTGCTTGCTTGGCTCTTGGGATCTCTGCTGTCACTTTGTTTCAGCCTTTGTGTTATTCTCCCTTATGTGTTAGCTCTGTGGTCATTTTCAGAAGTTTTTGTTTATGTTCTGAGTATGGAATTCCAGTCTGTTCGAACAATCGGTGAAATACTTCCGGATTCGAGTCAGCCATCTTGGCGGAAGCAGAAATGTCCCTTTTGGACAGATTGAAGAGGATAGAGTTGGAGATGTTAGGCCACCTGAAAGCAAAACAGTTTCCTGTTGGAGAGGGAACTCTATGGCACCAAGTCCATCTGGACTCAGGCTCTGCCCTTAGTTAAACAAAACCTGTTGTGGCAAGGTTGAGTTGATGCGTTTAGAGATAAATTTTGAAGTTTGGTTACTTTGTTGGGTAGCCTTGAGTGAGATAGGTGTGTAATCACAGATCATGCTGCAGGTAGGGAATGGGCTTTGGAGTCAGACTGACCTGGTTCGGCGTTCTTTTTGTTACTATGTTTTTTAACGTCGTAGCCTTGAACAAGTTATTGGACTGGTAGATGCTGCTGCTTCTTTGTATAGGGAATGGTGATAACCATTCATGGTGTTTATCCTGGGACCAATCAGATGAAGTTTGGTGCAGGATTCACAGTAGCCATTCAACAGTGGGTGGCTCTTGTTATTTATAGTGTTGACCTGAGTAAAACAAAAGGGGGACTATGAGGGGAAGATGGTGCCAAGAAAATGCACCCTTCCCGCAGTGCCTTGGCATTACAAAGACTGGCAGAGACTGCAACTTGCTGTCAGAGTGTTGGTCTAGAACAGTAGTGGAGAAGTCCCGGGCAGCAGCAGAAATCCCTCTTACAATTGAGTCACCTCAGAACACTGCTGGGGAGCAGTCTCAGGGTACAGGCTGGACAGGAATTGGTAGTCACAGTCACATCCAACCTAACAGATAGAAGTATCCCATCAGCCCGGGGTTGTGTCTAGAATGGCCTACTCTCCCTTCTTTCCTGTAAGGATTGAGGAAGCTGGCTTCCATTCATTGACATTCCAGTGACGGAGATGAGGGTAGGCAAGAGAACTCTTGAGAAAGCCTGACATTTTCACAAAACAATACTCTTTCAATGCTGTGAAGGACAGTTACGTAAAGTAACAGTGCCCCTTTCTGTTGTTGTTGTTGTCTAACACCTTAGTAACCCTGGAAGAGTCTATGACCCCACAGACTCACTCTGACATTCCTTCCGGAAGTGTTGATGTTGCAGAAACTGCTCCCCTGCCAGGCAGGTGTACTGTGATAGGGTCAGGAGATTGGGTCCTGCTCGTGGACCTGGCATGGTGTTCTGTCCTCAATCTCAGAAAGAAAAGATACGAGAGACTGGACACTTCAATTACTGTTGTTTATATCTTTGATGAATCTATGTAGGCAAACCAAGGAGCACTTGGAGTGGCATTTCGGCTTTAACGTATTTAATTTCAAGACATTTTTTTTTAAGTTTTGAGGGGCTAAATAATGATTTTTCAGTTAAGTTTAAAGGTTTAAGAACAACAAAAACAACAACAACATCAGCAACAAGATTTTTTCCCTGCTGTGTGACAAACGTTAAGTAAAGAGTATTCCAAAGGAAAAAAATTGACTGTATGATGAGCCGTTCTTTGACCCCTGACTGTTCAAAAGGCCTCATTCTAGCTATGAATTTGGAGAGTTGAGACCAAGTGCTTCAGTCCTTGGCTTCTTGGATAAATACAGATACAAAGGTAAACAGTAGAGATGGAGATTTGATGCTGTATCTACTTTGGATCTGCGGTCTTCTCAGAAAATGGAGGAGGCTGTGTAGGAATAGCTTCTGAAAATGAAGTTGTATCAGTTTAGCACACTAATGCCATTGACAGAAAATGTAATTCACTTTTTGATTCAGAGTTTGTTTTTCTCTGTTATTGTTGTTATAGGATTTAGCAGGAGAAAAGGGAAGCACGATTACATATTAAATGGCTTTGAAAAATTAGCTTTTGGCCTTAATATCCTTTTGCCTTTTATCTGTCTGACAAAGTCATTATAGAGATTAGGGCTTTCAGTGTTGTCAGAAAAGGCTAAATATATGAAAAATAAAAGCAGAGATCAGAAGGGAGATAAAAATCTATTATATTAAAACTGAAGTTTTCCTCAGGAATTGAATTTGTAGATGAATGTAGAGCTCTGCTTTGATGGTCCAGTATTGATAAATGTCAATACTCACCTTAGGCAAGCACCAGATTTTCAGGACCTTGGATGAATATAGAATTGCCTTTATTCTAAATTATAATTATAGAATAATTGTATAATTATAGAATAATTTAGTCTTTATGATGTTTCCTTTTGGAATGACATGGGTACCAGAATTGTACCAGGTTTTCAGAGTAAGGTAAGGATGTTTCTCTCCCAAACAGAAACACTATTCTGAGCCACACTTAGGAGGTCTAATTCAGCTCCTTTTTCTTCAGCTGTTGGTCAGGTAATAACTTTACATAGAAACTATGTGGGCTTCTAGCAATGAAATAAAGATAATAAGGAATACGTTGTTATTTCCTTTTTTTTTGTTATTTTCTTTTTATTATCTCTGGCCTATATATGGTTTGGTCACTTAATCTCTGAAAATGTATTTTATCTGTGTTTCCTAAAGAATTCCCAAAGATCTTAATTATCACAGATTCTAGAAACTCTATAATTAGGCTGGAGTTGTAAATGAAACATGAATTTTGGGAAGATCATACATATTAAAAGGAGTCCTAGGAAGCTGGTGATATTTAAGGTAATCAATCCTTAGTTCTTTGGGGGCTGATCACAGTACATGTGCCTTGCCGAGGATGTTATTTTCTCTGCCTTTTGCTACCACCCACAGCAGAGGCAGTGGGCCAGTTTTCCTGAAATGTTCCAAAAGCTTGGAGGAAGAGGATGAAATGAATGAGAAATCCAAAAGTTAGAATTACACATGGAGCTAGCTCTGCTATAAGTAACTGAGGAGAGCATGTGCAGAATGAAACCTTATCTCACCAGGAAAGGTGATGGGAGGCATTGTTTCTGAAGCTCACCCATTATATCTAAAATAAAGGTTCAGAATAATCTTTGTGGCATCAGAGATTGAACTGATTTCCCATATGGGAAAAAGAGTCAAGACATGGACATGTGAAGTGTGACTGAGAAGGAAAAGAGAAAACGTGAGATGAATTGTTAGGAACTGGAATTTGTTTTTCAATCATGGCTGTCTGATAGAAAGGAAAGGAGATAAAAGTGATACTGCCTTTGAGCTGAATTACTCTTTAGCATGTCTGTGGCTCAGTCCAAAAAAATCTATTTTAAGACTGTCTTTGCATTGTATTTTTCTTTTCTTGTGGTTGGGGTTTGAACCCAGGGCCTTGTGCTTGCTGGAGAAACTCTCTACTACTGAGTCACAGTCCTCTACTGTGTTTCTGAACACAAGTTGAAGTAGGCTGTATGGAAGCAGTGAGGAGAGAGGACTGGAACCATATTGTAAGGAGCTGTTAAAGAAATGGTGGTGCTGAATGAAGTCAAGAGCCAACTTGAGGCTGGGAGAACCTCAGATGTTGGAACATTAGTCTTGGTCAGGGCCAAATTAAACCTAGCAGGAAAAGGCAGAGGGATTTCACAGGTTAGATAAAAAGGTCATTCCAAACATCCAGAGCCAACAACAACAACAGCAATGACAACAGGAGGTGGCTTTCCTTGGGGGGTAATACGTGTTTCACCCCTGGAGATGTGGAAATGAGCACTCCATGAGTATTTCTTGTGGAGGTACACAATCTTTATAATCCCTTTGAAACTGAAGATTCTAAGACTCTGTAATTAGCGGTAATGATGAAGTAGCCTTGAAAAATGTAAAAGGTTACTTTATAAAATCTTGACCTCAATTAGGGGTTTGCTCACTGCATTTGACCTTCCCCTGAACATCACAGTAAATCTCTGGGCCATTCTTTTTGGGGAGAATAATCCAGGAAAAAAACCGAAGTCACTCTATTGCTTTTGCTTTTCTGGCCCAAGTTCCCCAGAGTTTTTCATTGGAGAGGAAGCAGTGATTTCTGGGCATGTAAACTCTGATACTTTGCTTATGGTGTGAATAAGATGGAGACGAGAGTAGGAAATAATATAAGGGTGATCCTGGTTAGATCTCTGTAGACATTGCAAAAAGTCCTTGAGAACACATTTGTTCCTAGGTTTCTGAGCGGGCTTGAGCTGAAAGCCCACACCTGTGTGAACACCCATGAGGTCCTGAGATACACGTTAATATCTCATTTGGCATTCATTAGATCATGGAAGTCAGTATGTCTTCAATTTTGAGTGATTCAACTTTGTGATTAAGAAAGCAAACAAACACCAAAAACAGATCTTGCTTAAAATCTCTGGAGCATTTTATGCTCTATGTCTTCCTGTTTGGATACATTCCCCCTTGTTATTGCTTTTTTTTTTTAAGATGACTGAATTATACAAATTAGACCCTGTAACTCCTCTCCTGCAGCTAAATTATGCAGAGACAAGACTTAGTCAATTGGAAAACTGTCATTGTGAGAAGACCTGTCAAGTGAGTGGATTGCTCTATCGGGACCAAGACTCTTGGGTTGATGGTGACCATTGCAGGAATTGTACATGCAAAGTAAGTCCCTTTGTAAGTAAATAAGATAATAACAGTTTTAAGGGGACAGATATAGTACTTATAGTGTAATTGAGTTATTTAATATATAATGTTAATGCCTTTATACAAATTATCCTTTTGCAATTCAGTCAATGTAAACACTGAAAAAATTGTCATTTGTTCTCTACATACTTGGAAGTTAAAATTCAATTTCCCTTGCTACACTCTAATTTGATCTCATAATTTTAGGAAGCTTACAGTTTGGAATTTAGAAGTTCAGATATAGAGGGGAAAGAGACTCATTTGATTTTCATACACCCGAATAGTTGGCTTTATCACAACTTTTCTCTACTAGAATAAATTTTAAAAAGGGATTTAATTAGTCTCTGTGGGTTTTTGTTGTGTTTTGCATGGTATCTGTCATTTTTTTTCCCAGAGAATTGCAAGATGTTTTCCTCACTCACTGCTTTTCAAGCTACCCATCATTTGTACTGTCCACCTATGCAGAGGATCATGAGAACCCTCTCTAAAAATTAGCATGCGAACCTTGTCCAGTCGAAATTACTTGATAAATATCTGAAGAATGCAGTTGTTTGTCTAGGAAAATACAAAATGGATTGTTAGAGCCTCAGAAATGACTGGCAGGGTCTGCAAAAGGTGTTACTTATGTTCTTGTAAAAATAGGCTTTTTTGTTTTCTGCCTAATCTACTTAGTCCACATGGGCAGGTGGGATGCAGCCAGTGATGGTTATCAGAAAAGTAATTGAGGTGGCGAAGGTGCATTTAGGCTGCAGAAAGGTTTTGTTTGAGGTCTTAGCGCGGAGTGGGAATTCCTCACACTGTTCTCTGTCCCCGATGAAGTTTTGGGGGTGAGATGTGAACTTTCTCTCAACAGGAGCTTTTAGAGGACACTTCTGAGATGCCTTGGTTTGTTTCCTTCCTCAGAGTGGCGTTGTGGAGTGCCGGCGGATGTCCTGTCCCCCGCTCAGATGTTCCCCAGACTCCCTCCCTGTGCACATCGCGGGCCAGTGCTGTAAGGTCTGCCGCCGTAAGTCCTCCCTGAGGGGCAGGGTGGGAAGCTCAGGGCTTTCAGACAGTTTTTCTATTCTTTGGGTCCCAACTGAAATGAAGTGCTGGCTGTTGATGCCATACTGTGTATCACAAGAAGCACTGTGATACTTTCATCATTGCCATGTGGCAGATACCTGGGAGGCTTTTTATTTTCTTCATTAATTCCTTACACCAACCTGACATATTATTGTCTCATTCTGTGTGGAGAGGACTTGTGTTCACCTGGATTACATCACTTGTCCAGGGTCACTCAACTGGGTGGGCATAATCAGTAAACTGACAACCCCAAGATTCCTTGTGCTTTGGTCTCCAAATTCGGAATGATCAAGTTCAGGCCAAATTCTGTTTTGATTTTTGGGGTTTTGGCCAGCTTCTCTTGTTGTGGAGGGGTCTTTGTTAGACATTCTGGGAGGAAATTCAAATCAATGCGGAAGTGACTTTGCCCAGGGCTGGCCTGAGCACATAGTGTCCCATGGATGCAGAGGACACTATTTCTAATGAAACCGTGAGGTGAGAACGGAGGCAGGCAGTGAGAGGGAAAGCAGGCCGACTCGGCGCACAGGTTACGTGCCATGTACTGCGATGGGTGCTTTAATTCTAAAGGTTGATTGGATTTTTCACAGGAGTTCTTGAGGGTTATTATGCTCTTTTACAGGAAGCTTGGGGTTAGGGATGTTGATTTACCAAGGTGATACCAAACCAGCTTTGTCAACCAAAAAGCTTATATTCTTGATGTCAAGCCACAGAAAAGGAGAATTCGGCTAAAATATGGCACCCAGTGGATAATTTCTTTTGCCAAAAGAATCACACCAACACCAGTAGGCTTTCAAATCGAGGTTGTTTTATTGACGGGGGCAGCATGGCACCTCCTAGGACAGAGGAAGGAAGGATAGCCAGTCTGGTAACACCACCTCGTGCTTGTTGAGATTTAAAAAAAGTTTTTTTTTCTTTTATTGAGTTTATTGGTACATTTTAGGTAATACAGTACAGTTACATTCATCATTGGGATCTTGTACCTTTCCATGACAGGTCTTGGTTCTTATTTTTTCCCCTTGTCCCTGCCCTCCCTTCACCCCCTCCTCCCCTCCTGATTTACAAACACTTTATTTCCATTTTTTCATTTTCTCATATGTTTTTCTTTTCCCTTATTACCCTTCCCCTACCCTTCCCACTTTCCTTACACCTTTAGCCCTTTTCTTCCCATTTCACAATGTCAGTTATCTCATTAGGATCTTATGTACTATTACAGTTTATTCACACCAGAGAAACTATTTGGTATTTACACATGTGACTTATTTATTTCACTTAGGAGTATATCCTCATTAAAAGAATCATACCAAAGTGCTATATGCACACCCATGTTTATAGCAGCACAGTTTGTAATAGGTAAAACTTGGAAACAGCTCATTTGCCCATCAGTTGGAGATTGGATAAAGAAGATGTGGTTTTTCTATAAAATGGAATATTGCTCAGCCATAAAGAATGAGAAATTAGACTCATTCATAGGAAAATGGATACATTTTATTGAGATTTTTTTAATAGGAAGTTTGGAAAATTCTTTTTCATGGTTGGCACAGTACAGCGAGTGTTCTGGAAGGCGTTCTTGAAGTTGATCTAAAGAGAGGAACTTTTTTCCGGAGGCTTTTTGGAGTAAGCACAGGTGCCCAGATATTGATTTATTGTTTAATGCTATGAAGGAAAAGAGTTGTTAGCAGGTACAGGATAGTTTTTTCTTACAAACTGATATTGTACATATCAGTAAGCAGTGGAAGAGGTGAGAAACTATTAGACATTTGTTAAAAGCATGAGATTATTTTAGTTCATTATTTTGAATTCCCTATACAGATCTGTGAATAATTGAAAAGTGTTGTTTGAACACAGGAGAAATGGGTCTTTTAGTTATTTTTTACTTTAGACTTTTGAGTTTTTCTTTTCTGAAAATTATAAAAGCACTCTGCTCATTGCATAACATTTGATAGCACAGAGATGGATAAAGATACAAATGGGAAATTTACAAAATATCATCACATGCTAGCAATTGTGCTTCACATTTTAATTGATTTAATTCTTGAGGTCATAGTGTGTAGGTTGTTTTATATCCTACTCTGTTGACTTACTGTTGTCACTTAACTATGTTTCTAGGCTTTTAAAAAGTTGTTCTCATTTATTCATTGTTTCCCATTGTTTGGCTTTTGTTATTTAACTGTTCCCCAGTTGCTGGATATCTAGGTTGTTCCCCACTTTTCACTGTTTTAAATTACTGTTTGATAATATGTTTTATATAGAAAATGTAATTTTGTATACTTTGGTGTTTTATATTTCCTTAAAGTAGAATTCTCCAGAGTAGAATTACGAAGCCAACAACTGACATTTTCAGGCCCTAGATATATATTATTAAATTGTCTTCTCACTGGGTATATGTGGATTAGCTATTTTTTGTTTTTCTAATTCCTTTGAGAGGTTTAAGTTTCAAAACATTACCTAGTTTTACAAAGATGTTGGTATACATGTTAGCTAACTAAAATATTGGTGCCGTTTTTATCTTTGTAGGGAATTCATGTCAGTGTGGTTAGGTAGCACTAGTTTTCTCAGCAGCTCTGACTGATAAGAATACTACTCAAGAAAAAACTAGAAAGAAATCATGCAAGGTGCCTGGGGTAATTAGAAGGCTGAGAACCTCTGAATGAAACACTTTCATTTCTTACCAGTTTTTAATAAAAATATTCATTGGGCAGTTACTGAGGATGAAGGCCTGGAATGGCAATGAAGGTGTTTGCCCTGCTGCAGGGGAGTTGGCTTTGGAGTTTGCAACGTGCTCCAACTGCCCAGACGTATGAGTGCAGGACATTAAACACAGGTGGAGGGCAGTGCTAGCCCGCAGACAGATGCTGTTGGAAGGTGGTAGAGGATACTAGCGTCTTGCTCTTTGGAGGACATAGAGCCGGGTCAGGTTTTTCTAGTTCTGTAGGAGGTGCCTATGGTGGTTTGGCCAGTGGGGTTGAGAAGAGGAGAATGAGGGTCGACAGTGGAAATTCTGGAAGTTTCAAAATATCATCACATCACAAAAATGACAGAGAATATTTTCTTTGATTGCTTCTTTCAAAGACACTGAGTTTGTCAGGCAAGGCATATGTTAATCACCTGGATTTTTCTGTTACACAACATGTACCTATTTCACAACATACCATTTTAGACATTTAAAATAATGGAACATATAAAAAAAGAAAACTGATGTAAAGGAAAAATATAAGGAGTATCATATGAATAAGCATATAGTTCAATCATATTATTTTTTTACTTTGACAATCAGGAATGTTTCATTTTCCCCGGTTTATTTAACCCATTCACATTTAATGTTATTATGGATACCGTTCAAACCACTATTTATTGGATACTGTGTCTTTCTTTAGCTTTGTTCCTTGTGGTCATAGTTACTTTTCTTTCACCAAGATACAATATCTGACATCCACAATTTAAAGGGAGAGAGGTTTATTTTGGCTTTTGGTTTCGGTCCGTAACAGGCTGGCTCCTGAACAGAACAGAATGGCAGGGGGGTGTGCTGAGGAAAGGGGTCTTGACCCATGGCAGCCAGGAAGCAGAAAAGGAGGAGAGGGGAGAGGAATGAGGCCAAGGCAACCCCCACCAGCACCCAGTGGACCCCACTTCCTCACAGCACATTTAGCGCAGAACGCTCAATCTGTTGATTAGTATTGCATGGCTGTCATCTAATTGCTTTCCAAAAGCCCCACATCTGAACCCATGAGAATCTGGGGAAACATTTGTTTTTATTTTTTCCATTTCTCTGGAGGGATGCCGCAAGTAAATTTCTTATATGTGCACAATTTTCCTTTTTTTCTTTTTTGAGTTTGCCATTTGGTTTGGGTGAGGCAGTATTCTAGGAACAACAAGGAAATGTACTGATGTGACCTAGACAACAGGAGCCAATATAAAAGCAAATTGCTTTGTCTGCTGACTTCTGAAGTCTTTGTGCACTTGTAATGGCCCCAGGAGCTGCAGCACTTACAGATGAAGGCTTCTGTTTGGAAACAAGAAAGAACTTTGAGCATCCAAGGTGGTCTAGGAAGTGGTTCTTTTGTTCCTTCTCAAACATTTGTAGCATGTGTGCCCTACCCAAGGCATATCGAGCATACCTAATGTACCCCCCATCCCCCGACCATGAGCTTCTTAACCTGCATCTTTTCATGGGCCTGCTTGGACTACCAAGTCAGAATCTGCAGGTAGCAGTCTCTTGAAACCTGTATTGTTTCGGTCGCGGCATTTGAGATCTACCAGAGATGAGAGGTAGGAGGAAGAGGAACCTTTCAGCTATGCAATACAGTACTGTGAAGGAGGAATGGCAGTGCCAGGAGAGGGAGGCTGTCTGTTTGATGATGTCAGCAGGAGCAAAATAGAAATAAAGCTGCCAGTGTTGGTTGGACATGAATGCTGAAGACTGAATCCTGTTGGAGACCTCCTGAGGTCCCTTGTCCAAACACTGTCCTCCACTCTGGATGCAACAGGGATGACACTTCAATTGTTCATTCTGCATCAGGCGCTGAGCCATGTCATTTTATGTATATTCATTTGCTTAGCTCTTTGAGCAACCTCGAGTGGTGAGCTCCGCTATTATTCCCACTTTATAGATGAGGAAGTAAAGCTCAGCAGTGCTGGAGCCCTGGCAATCTAGCTGATGTCCTTAACCTGTCCACTGTACTCACTGCACACACTGTCTCTGTCACCAGCAAGAGTACTGTATGCCACGAACTGGGTTTAATTTATAAAGATGGCACAGAGAAGGGAACAAGTAACTTCATCAGAAACTTGCATGTGAGGAGGGTGGAGGAAAACCTCATGGATAACAGCTTGGCAGGGTATCTGAAAGTAAGTGGGAATCTGCTAGGTATACAAGGTAAGAGCACACCTGCCAGAGGGAATTGCACGTGCAGAATCGTGGAAGTGAACAGAAGGTTGATTTTGGTACTTAAAAGCAAGATTTTAAAGCAGGGATGTGGTGTGCTGAAAAAAAGTGCTTTTAGAAAGATCACCACATCAAGAGAGCTGGAGACAGGGGGCCTGGGTATGGGCACCTTGCAGGTAGAGGTGAAGAGGCTGGAAGCAGGCACTGTGTGGGGAGAAGCAAGGGAAGAGACCGAGTGACAGACGAAGGAGCTGGTGCATAGTAGTCTCCATAAGCATTGTTTAGCGTCAGCATCTAGGAGGGACAGGTTGCCAGGCTTTGAACAAGATCCTGTGGGAGGCTTATGGTGTGATTAACAGAAATCAGGCAGGTGGAGGAAGTAGTCTGTGGGCTGCTAAATCCTATTTGGCATGTTTGAGTTGGAGATGCCTGAGGGACAACCAGTTTGCTGTGGCTGTCTTGCTCAGAGAGCTGGTGTTTGAAGCCTGAGCTGTGGATTAGCTCATGGAGGGAGGAAGAATCCTTGGGTGTTCAGCCCCTCTGATCTGCCGCTGTCCTTTAAAGTCTAAAGCCGAGTGCCGAGTTTAACATTCTGAGCTCCTGAGTGTTAAGGCTTGGCTGGGGTGTGCCCAATGCAGACAGCTAAATAAAGATATGGCAACATGGCGGCCACCTCTGACAGGAGTACTGAGTTGTTGATTCAGCGTGCACCCAGATGGCAAGAGTGTCCAATCCTTGCACTTGAGAAACCAAGGTCAAATTTGAAGCGCCAGGTGCCTGTGGAGCCAGAAGATACAACTGCACGACTCTCTCTCTAAATCCCCAGCGAGTTTATTTCTGACATCATGGAGAAATGTGTGTCAGTGCCAGATTTCAATTTCATGGTTGGACACTGTGAAATATTCTAGTTTGCATGTCCCCGGTGTGATATGAGGGGCTTCAGGTATCCATTTACATTTCTACTCACACTGAAGGCTGCTGAAATGAAGTCCCAATGCCCCAGCCAAAGGCACCAGAGCCTGACTCACCTTATGCTTGAATTTCCTCAGACATCAAAAATAAGCCTTTTGGCTGTAGATCAAGAGGTTGGATAACGAGGACTGATGTCAGGCATACGGAGGGCAGCAGTGGGAAGGAGGGGCGCTGTCAGAGAAACTGGGTGTGTAGGAGAGAACAAGGGAAATTCTCGTGACCTTTAGGGGTGATCCTAGGAGTCATCTGGGATAATTTGGTGCATACTTGGTGTCCTAATCATAACTCTCAGTATCATGTCTGCAAATGACAGAGACACAAGAACACATTGGAAGCGTTTGCCAGCCCCCCTCAAACACCCTACTATGTGAGGGCCATAAAATTCAGTGGACATTTAATTTTTATGCCAGACTAGTGGATCAGAGGGATGGATGTGTCCCTGAGTGTGGCTGGAAAGGAGTTCTGGCACGAGCCTGTCAAAGAGGAAGAAAGGAATCAGGCACATGCTTTAAAATGGGGCAGCAAGTGTGTTAATACCATTACGGGAATGGCAAGGGGCAAAGGCAGAAGAGAGGCAAAGGCCCAGTCGGGCCAAGAAGCAGATGGCAGATTTGATGGCAGAGCACTTAGCAGAACTGTCACTCCGGGGCCAGCCACCTTGCCAAGTTGGCAGCAGCTGTGTTTGGGAGTGTGGGAATTTAGTAGACAGGAATTCCAGGCTCTGGGAGATGTGGTCTCTCTCTCTGCAAGTAAATTGGGAAGTCCAGATCATCATCAGAACCCGTGAGTCATGGTCTACTGACTTATCTAGAAAATTAAGGCATATAAGATGATCAAGGAAGTTTTTTTTGTTTTTGTTTTTTTAAACAAGAAAAGGAAAAGGCCTATTTAGAGAATTGTATTGATTTTCCTTTGTCGTTGTTGATTTTTTTCTGAAAATGTTGGTGTCTACTTTTAATTTCGAAGTTGCACTAAAGAGCAGAAATAACTTTTAGGTGTGACTCAGGAAATCTCCTTGGCTTTTTCTCCTGAGTAGAGTGCATTAATTCTAAAACTATTATCGCTAACAATAAGCCCAAAGAGGCACTGGGCTTGGGGTTGAAGATACCATTGGGAAAAGCCACTCCCCTCAGGGAAGTCACAGTTAGAAGGGAGTTGTGTGATGACGTGTGAAATTAAGATATGATAGGATGTGTATTCTATTAGCCTAGTTCCAAAGCGCAAAGTGAGGGCAGTTAACCAGTGGGAAAGATCAGGAACAGCTTCTAAGGGGACGTGAGGGAGACTGGAAGCTGGAGAGGTTGGGAGGCTGTCAGTGAAATAAACACGGCTGCTTATTCCTGTAGAAAAGTCTCTGCAAAGCTTGGGAGTGAGAGAGACAGGTGGACTGGGGTGTGTGTGGAGGGGTAGACTGTAGGAAGGTGAGCAAAAAGCACAAGAATGGTAAGCTTTGAGGTGCAAGGGAATGGCCTTGTGTGCTGAGAGAGGAATTTGACTTTATCTCGAAGGTGTGAGGGACCCATATGATTTTTTTTTTAAGTAAGACCTCATATTTGCACGTAGAAAACATATATTGGACCATTGTGTTCAGAAGCACCGGAGAAGATGGAGACAGAGCGCAGGAGAGCCAGGAGGCTCTGTGAAGAGAGAAAGGGCCGCCGGAGTGAAGACAGAGTCTGGGACATGAGAAAAGTGACCGAACTCGAGACATTTTAGGGAGGGAGCATGGTTAGGATTTGGGCGTGGACTAACACAAAATAGAATCAGAAGCAGCAGTTAGAAGGGTCTGAGACATCAAGGTGTGGATGCCAAAGCAGTTGCTGGGAGCTTTGACTGAAAGGAGAGCAGGAGAGGAGAATATATCTGGGTGAGGTGTGAGGCTGCGTCAGGTCAGGTTCTGGGGGACAGCAGACTCCCATTGGGGAGATTGGCATTGCTTTGTTAGTGCTCTCAGGAGAGCAGCTTTAGGGTAGGAATGAGGTGGCAAGGGTAGCATAATTGAGCAGAAGGACAAGTAGAATCCCAGTGCAGTTAAAACAGATATTCCAGTTATTCCTACAGGTGAATTTCAGGACTGGAAATAGCCTTTCAGAGCTGCCCGGAGTTGGGGCGATGGGTCCAGGACTCTGCCACACTTTGTTCAACCACCAATCGAACATAGGCTGCCACAGGAAGGTGACTTAACCTCCGGCAGGGTGCTCTGTACAGCCCAGGACAAATCCTGAATACCTAGCTGAGATCTGTGGGTTGCCAGTTGTCCCAACAGTGGCGAGAATGTGCCCTTTGGTCCTGGAGGGGCTCTGAGGAGCACACCCTGGCATCTACTGCAGAGTCTCTGGCTTTCCTCTTCCTGTGGATGAAAAGAAGGGGTTGACCAGCTGATTACTAATGTTCTAGGTACTTGAGCATTCTATGACAATCAGAAGATTTTAGAACTAGAGAGCTTCCAAATTTAATCAATCCATTTTAAGCCCATTTACAGAAGTAGAGGTTCTGAGAGCTGAGGCGTGTTGATAAGACCAGCATTGAGTTAGTGAGAAGAGATATCCCAGAATAAATATCTCCACTTTGGCTTCTCTTGAGAGAAAGGGCTGGAAGGTCCTCCTTGAGGCAGGAAGGGGAACAGTCAGGCCTCCACTTCCTTGTTGCCATGGCACGGGCTGGAGAATTTGATGGACTCATCTCAGGGTCAAATCAAACTGACATATTCTGCACTTCCTTGAAGTGAGCCTGCAACTTAAGTCATGGGCTGAGTCCCAGTGGACTCTAAATTGAAGTTCTGTTTTTACTTCTTTTTGAAATTTTCTACAAGGCCTGTGTCCAACCCTGCCCTCCCTATTAGCCTGGTGAGCTCGCCTCTCCACAGGCTGCCTTTCTGGTGCATTGATGTAGCAATTAACTGGACTGGCTTGGATTTCTTTGTTGTCCGAGTACCTTCAGAACATGTAGGCTAAGGACAGCTGCCTCCCACAATCGCAGGAAATATGTGTGACATCCTTACCCACTGCTCACTGCTGCCAGCATTCTGATAAACAGAACATAAACAAGCCCCTTTCACTCAGCTACTTATTCTACAGCTGGAGTGTCTGAATCAGAACCCCTTCTAATTGTACTCCAAGGGGATGGCAGCCAGTTCTTCCTCGTTTTAACTGCTTCTCATTTCAATTCGTTCTCCAGTTCCTTTGGCAGAGGCAGCACTGAAATAAGTGCATGCCCTGGGTGTGCAGGCAAGGCAGATCCTGTCAGGAGGAGGCATGGGTCGGGGAGTCGGGTCATCCCCTACTGTGTTCCCGTGTCATTCTCCAGACAAAGAGACCTGTGTTGCTGGAGACCGAGCATCTGTGTCTCTGTGGGATGGCAGTTCTGAGATGATCCAGTTATATCACACGACTAGCTGACCCATTTTTCTGTTTTATTACAGCAAAATGTATCTATGGAGGAAAAGTTCTTGCAGAAGGCCAGCGGATTCTAACCAAGAGCTGTCGGGAATGCCGAGTAAGTTTTAATCTTAGGATCCTCACCACCTTGATAGCTGTCCTAGTTTTGTGGACGTTAGGTAGGTTATTGGGTGGGGCATGTTGCCCTGGATGGGTTCCTGAGGGGCAAAACCCCCTCGGTGCTGGGATGAGGTAGAAGATGGGGAGGACACACAGCCTCTGTTAGTGTGTGACCAGCTTGAGGTCAGATGGTTCAGGTAGCCTGAGAAAAAGCGATTAAAGGAAGGGTGTCGAAAGAGAAAAGAGCTAGCAGCTACTGTGAGTCAGGAAGGTTGGTGCAGAGCCCAGGAAGTAGTTTTCAGCTGGTGTTAGGGGAATTGGTCTGTGATGCCAGATGTAGCAGTGCCAACTCTACTCCCAAATGTCAGCTATAATGGTAGAAAATGCCCTGTCTCCTGCTCACCTCTTCCTATGAAATAAGATATGAAGAGTCACAGACCTGACTTAGTAATCATCCAGCAAATATGCATTAGGCAAATGCTATATTAGCATTCTACTGAATTTCAGGTGTACATAAATGAAGAAAATGAAGTTTCTATCATTGTAGAACCACAGTTTAATGAGGGAGATGGTGAGAAAAGAAATATATAATGACACATTTTATTTGAAATTCTGCAGTAGACTGTAGGGATAGAGAAGTTTGGGCTGGGGTGGTTTGGAAAGGCCTCACTGAAGATATATTTTTAGAATAAAGCCCTGGACACAGGTTCGGAGCCAAGCGTACGGCTCTTTTGTTGTGGAGGATGCCAGACAAAGCAGGCGCAAAGGGCTTGCCAGGGAAGCTTACGGGGCACGTCCATGATAAACAAGGATGCTGAGGTGGCTGGAGTAGATTGCACGGGCAAAGAGCAGTAGGAAATGAAATTGCAGGGAGAGCTTGGGGCCAGAACATTTAAGGTTTTTAAGACAGGATGTCAAAAGTCCTGTGGTATGCCTTTCCTGTTTATATAACTGTTATCCATCACAATGATTCAGTTTGTTCATGTATTTATCCATTCTTTCATTCAACAGATATTTATGAGCACCTACAATATTTCAGGTGCCACGCTAGTACATGGGGGTATGATAGTGTTAGTATTCCATCAGACACTTTTGGAGCACCTGCAGTGTGCCAGACACAGCACAGGACAGGCGTTAAAGATGAGACTTAACAACGTATTAAGCTCCTGTCTTGGTATCACCGTCCCATTAAGACTGCATGCAATGGGGGAGCCATTTCCCAAGAGGAAACTGTGCTAATTGCAGAAGGAGAGACTAAGTCGTGGAAATCCTTAGTCTGATGAATGCTGTCTTCAGTAGATAAGGCAGTTGTGCTTAACTGAGGCAGAGGGAGCGGGCAACAAATGGGGCTAGTTTTAGACATGTTGAGCTCGTTAGCATTTTGCCTATCAGTTGCTATGAAACTATCTCCCAGAAATGTAGTGGCTAAAATCTATACTTTGTTCTTCTCTCTCTGTTCTTATGTAGGTTGAATGGGCTCAGTTGAGATCTCAGAATCCTATGAAGGCCAGATATGGCTGGATGTCCAAGATGGCTTGTTTACTTCCATGTCTAGCACGTCAACTAAGATGAATGGAACAGATATTCTTCTGTGTCCCTGTCTCTCTGTGCTGCCATCTTTCTCCTTCTTGGCAGCCTGTAGACATGGGGCCTCCTTACAGCATTGTGGCCTCAGGGGTTTCTCACGTGGTGATTGGCTTCCTCTAGAACAAACCCTCCTAAGTCCAAAGTGGAAGGCTCCAGTGCATCTTATAGCCTGGTCTCCAAAGCCACATCTCTCTGTTCCTCTGCATTCTTTTGGATATGTAGGGCCAACCTGATACATCACAGGGAAGGGTAGTGCAAGGACATGAATACCAGGAGGCACGATTCACTAGTGAGACAGGCATCCTTGGGGACCAGCTACATAATAAAAGTCTGTGATACAATTTTCTACTTGGAAATACCTTGCACACCTCTACCCCCCATACCTGGATGGGAATTTAGTTACCCACTAGGTAGCTTATTTCATGGCTAGAAAGCATTAGCAATTAGCAAATTCCTTTGTTTGCATAAATATCTACCTCTTCAGTACCTCTGCTTTTGCCCTCTGGAGGATCAGAGTGGTCTACTTACTCTTAACATGTAACATTGTGGCTGAAAGGTCCAAATCTACTGTCAACTACTGACCTAGCTTTAAATCCTGTAATTTCATCTAGTTGTTAGTGAAGTGTTGTTCACAGTAGAGTTAGAGAACATGTCTTGAATAGGAAGAGAAAGTGAAAGCTTTTGCATCATTTGACACATTTTCCCTTTTCCCCTCTTGTCCACCACATCAGGAAGTCATTTTTGTGTGTGTGTAAATTATGGTCTTTATTAACATGGATCCATTATCATTGTGTACAAGAGCAGACTTCCCTGAGGTGAGCTGTTTGCAGAAACCATGCGCTTGGGGTGTGACTGTGCTTCTTAGGCTCATAGTTTCCTTTTGCAAACTGTCCAGGATAAAACCGAGGAAGTTGCAGCCTAGGGTATCTTCAATCGAAAGCATGCTAAGAACTTTAACAGCAGGGAACTGTGCTTCAAGAACCTCAGGATAAAGAATAGTAGATTGTTTGTGTTCAGCGTGTACTTTAATATGTATTTTTGAAAATATTCTCACCTAGTTCTCCCAGCCATGCTGTGAGGCAGGTCGAGGAATCCTTTGTATGTGTGTGTATAGAATTTGTTTGGTTGGTTTTTTGAGACAGGGTCATACTGTGTTGTTCAGGCTGGCCTTGAGCTCACTGTGTAGCCCAGGCTTCCATCAAACTTGAGGTGATCCTCCTGCCTCAGCCTCCTGAATGCTGGATTACTGGCGTGCACCACCATACCCCCTCTGTCCCTCTCCCTTTTTAATGTGGTAGTGGAGACTGTTGTGATAGTCTAAGTTGTCCAGGCTAGCCTCAAACTTAAGTTTTACTTTGTTTATTTGTTTTGTGTTTTTGAGACAGGGTCTCTTTAGGTAGGTCAGGGTGACCTTAAACTCTCAGGGATCCTCCTAGTCTCTCAAATGCTAGGATTACAGGCCTGGCTGAACTTGTGATCCTCTTGCCTCAGCCACCTAAGTAGCTGGGATTACAAGCATGCACCATTATGCCTGGCTGTGCCATGTTTCTTTAAATGCAATATGGCCTTTCTTGGTGCTCGCCTAAAGGGGATACTGTCCCGAGAAAGGGTGTTGCTTTCTCTTTGTATGCCTGATTCCATTTTCCCCTGTGTGTTCTGTCCTTTTCCTCGTGGTTCAGCTTTTGTGAGTGCTGCTCGCAGGACCTGTTTCTCTGTGTCTGCTCTCCTGTGACGGAGGGGGCTCTTGAGCCTTTCATGATCTGTGGCTACATCTATCTTGGTCTCTTTCTGATGGGTGTTCTTCCTGTGCTGTGCCTTCCAATCTCTCTTCCTATCACTTCATTCTCTTTTGTCCTCTTTCCTGCTCTGCCTCTCTTTCAACTGCCCCTTGTGCAGAAATGAAATGTGGTCCTAAGCAATCTCGTTTTCATTTCAGAACAGGGCTTCATCTTCTCTGTTAGGGTTTCTGCAGTAGATGAGTAGGTGGAGACCTCCAGCTTCTCTTTCTGTTCTAGGACCCAACGTGAAGATATCTGTATGTGAATCTCGATCGTTTTTCTTGTAAGAGCATTTTCCTGGTGCATATTGCTGGTTTGTAAGGGAAGGCAGCAAGGACTTGTAACCACTTGTCACTCTCGGGAAAAGCCAGAGCTAGAGGTGACCAGGACAACTGGCTCCGCAGCCCGGGCCTCACCCGCCCCGTTCCATTGGCCGGAGGCTAGGGAGGGGGAGGCACCCATGGTGACTGAACAAGAGCCTGAGTGCCTCAGCCGGTAGCTATGGCCCTGCCCACCAGCGTCTGTGGACTTGAACTCCGCTTGCGCTCTCACTCTCCGCCCTGTGAGTCAGCTACTGGCACTGCCCACCGAGCCTGGTCACACCAGCAAATCATTTTATAGGCAGAACCACCAGCCCTAGAGAGAACGTGGATAAGGCCAACTTCAGTGAGAGAATATTTGTCAGGCAGGCATGGTGGCACATAGCTGTAATAAAAAAATCAGCCTCTGGGAGGCTGAGGCAGGTGGACTGCAAGTTCTTAGGAAGATTCTGTCTCAAAATGGAAATTTAAAAGAAAGACTGGGAATGTAGCTCAGTATGGAGGTTGTGGGTTCAATTCCCAGTCTTTCTCTTGTTTTCTGAGAGAGAGAGAGAGAGAGAGAGAGAGAGAGAGAGAGAGAGAAGTGCTTGTCCCTATCTCTTGTCCTGAGCTGCCTCTCCAGAAATTGTTTTCCTGCCCAACATTAACTGGGAAAAATTGAGCAAAATAATCTTACCTACTTGTCTAATTTCTGGTTCTACATAACAAGACCAGAGGCGTGGACTTCTGTGTCGATGCTTTAGTTGTTTATCCTTCAGGGGGTGGTGGACCACGGTCGAGGAGAAGATGTGTAACCCTAAAGATGAGAGAGTGAGGAACGGACACCAGAAAGTGAAGGAGGAGAGGCAGGAGAGCAAACACAAGACTGTGTTCTCACAACAAAGCACAGCTGGTTTTGCGAGGCATCTCTAGAGAGGCTGATGGCACCATGGGGCCTCAGAATAGACCATCTTTGCAAGTGCTTTTACCTACATTATTTCATTTTCCTTTCATCACGTCCCCGGAGAAAAGGAAGAAATGTATTTTATATATTGAAGAGAATGAGGCATTTAGAGACTCACAGAAGCTTTCAAAGAGATACTAATAAAAGAATTTAGTTCTTTATAGGAGCCTGGGGAGAAGAGGCTCTTTCCTGTATCCCGTCCCTCATTGGACAGACTCAGTCCCAGGAATTAACCTTCTTACACCCCCCTGTCAAACTTGCCCCCCCCTCTTGGCTGCCGTTGCTTGGGTCCTGCCGGTGTGGCAGGCACGTAGGTGTGGTGGTCTCTGCATCTAGGGGTCCCTCAGTCTGTGGCAGAAGCAGTAACGGT